CACTCTGACCGCTCTCCACCGTCTCTCTGTGGTCGATGGAGATGCTGTGGTTTCGTCTGACTGGACACCGCTTCCTGTTTGTCCTGCCGACAGCTTGAAGATGGACAAGCATCTCTCGAAGCGATCGATGTTGGAGGGGGGCCGGCCCGGACCCTCGCTACACTCCAAGTAGGAGTTCCTGGTGGTCTTCTGGTACAACAGCAGGCCCTGTTCATGGAGAGAGGCAGACAGCATCAGGTTCATGTCTGGAAATCTAAGTTGTTGTAGAAATATATTCATTTCAAACAAGAAGCAGGAAAAGGTTTTATTTAGATGAGAGGAAACCTAAAATGTTTGATGCTTTTCCTGGACTTGCTGATGATCCCGAGTCAGGATCCATAATGCATCAAGTTCAGGGGTGGCTCTAACAGGAATGCAGTCCTGGGCAAGCCCCGCCCCCCAAACAATTAAATTCATGCAGTTATCAGTTTGTTTGTTTTATTCCAAGTGAAAGCAGGTAACCTAGACTCCAAGCAAACTTGGTCATAGAAGATTAGGGCTGTGACTAACGATTACTAATCACAAATAATCGATTAATTGGATAAAACAAATCCTTGNCTTTTAGCACAACTTGAACACAACAGTCTTTTCCAGCCTCCAGTCATATCATTTTTGAAGCAAAAGTTAACACCCTGTGGGCCAAGAGAAGCTTGTGCGTCAGATTTACTAGCCTACCAGAAACATGCAAATACAGATGTTCTGGCCAGAGCCTTTGCTTGTTAAAAAAATAAAAATAAAAATTGTGTTAACATTTATAGACACGCAAAATAAAATGTAAAATTTTTCCACATGTTTTCCAGGGATACCCTTACATGTATGTACATCTGCTTATCTTACATGTTGGAGCAATTTTAATGAAACTCTGTAGAATATTTAATAGAAGTTTGTTAAATTTGTTGTTAATGCGTCATTCAGAGACTACATCCAAATTATGTAGTTAATTTGTCAAATGCAGCAGGCTGACAATATTTGACTCTAATCTGGTGCATGATGCCTCTGAAGAACCAATAGTTTTACTATTAGAATGAACTGTCATGACGGTGTTGTGGTTTCTGTGCAGATAAACTGATAAGAACGGTCCTGAATGGATGTCAGTGTGACACAGGTGTGTTTGTGGGGAGAGTCACTTAACGGAACCCTCCATACACTAAAACTGAGCAAAATGTTAACATTTACATGCATAGCAAGGACGTGCACCAAAAAAACTGAAACCACAAAAAATCCTCGCTTAACAGAACTATGAATGCTTGTTACTCTGCCGAATTGTAGTTTTCAGTTTATTTCTGCAGAAGTAAAGCGGTGAAAAATGGAATATACTAAGATTTTCAGAATTTATTTGCTGCCCAGATTCAAAGCTATTTACATGTCAGACAGTTCTGTATTATTCTGAGGGATATTTTAGTAAAACTGTAGTTGGATTTAGAATTGTTCTGTTCAAACACTTCAGGGAGAGAAAACGGTCAAAGAGCCACAGGATGCTGGGAACTGAAGAGGAGTTTGGGAATGTTTACTATAACCACATAATACAATAAAACACAATTCAACTTCGTTTAAAACTAATTACAAAAACAAACACAAAAGAAACACAATATATTTGCAAAACATTTTATTAATTTTAAATGAAATAAGTCACTCCACATTTTTAAAAACTAATGCTGCCCATGTTTATGAACATTGATAAAGCTAACATAAAGCATTAGAATTTATATCCTGAGAGGATTTAATCTATTATGTCGGACATTTTCATTCTATTGTTTTTCATTTTTATTGGGAAAAAAATAATAATACATGATTAATGTGAGCTGCAAGCCATGCCAGGCTCGTTCTTTTGAGGATGGCATGTTTTAACAGCTTTATAAAAGCAATAAAAATCTTTTATATTTTTTTGTTTCATGATCAGCTGATTGTTTGTTAAAGCTCTGAGATCTGAGGCTTCAAACTGTTCAAGTGTAAAATCTCAAGCTGACCAGACAACTACCACATAGTACATACAGAGAAAAAAGAATAAAACACAATTACGAGAATAAAGTTGAAATAATATGACAATAAAGTCATAATGACAAGAGAATAAAATTATATTGCAAAATAAAGTTGAATTAAATGAGAATTAAGAATATGTGAATAAAGCTATAATATGAGAAATGAGTCATATTATGAGTAAAGTTGTAATACTATGACTTTATTCTTGTAATAATTCAACTTTACTCTCATATTATTGTGAGTTTATTCTCATACATTTTTCTTGTAACATTGTAAATTTATGATTTTTTAAACATTTTGTCTCACAATCATGCATCCAGCAGCAGGATCACAGAGCATGGAGTATCAGCTGGAGTTTCTCCAGTCGTCAGCAGAGCGCTCCGTGATGCTCCTACAGGGATTTTTCAGGCGTTTCTTTCATTTGGAGGAATGAACTCCAGACCAAGGTGAGCAAATATCTCCTCCTCTGAAGAAGCTCTTATATATCGACCCTGCAAACATGATAACTGATTAATTTAGATCGCTTTTCTTTCATGGCAGAAGCAGAGATCATTGATCCATTCACCTGTTTGTTGTCGTACAGGGCGTGGCTACTCAGAGACATGCCTTTCTCATGCCCCGCCCACCGCCGCAGCTCCCTCTCAAACAGCTGCGGAGGAAGTGATGTCGGTCAGAAGGCGAGTAAAGGAGACCCCCGGAGGGCGAGTGACGATGCCCACCTTGGATCCGGTCCAGCCCAGCAGAGCAAAAGCAAACTGGCTGATGGGGGAGACCACCAGGTCCACTCTGACCGCTCTCCACCGTCTCTCTGTGGTCGATGGAGATGCTGTGGTTTCGTCTG